GAACCACAAGACCGTGATCTGAGCCAAAACCAAGAGTCAGACGCTTAACCGGCTGAGCCACTCAGGCGCCCCTTGGGACGTATTTTCAAAGCTTCCGGAGTATTCCACACCTCTTGGTGCCCCCCTACCCTCGGAGATGAGCCCCTAGGAGTGTCTTATCTGAACTGTCGCACCAGCCACACAACCCACACCAAGAGCAGACCGTCCCGGGAATGAGCACGTGCACACTTTCAACTCCATAAATAGGGTTCACGGAGCCAGCCCCCCCAGACTCCCACTGAGAGAATCTCCTCACCGCACACTTCCTCCGTTTGTTGAAGACCAAATTCCAGCTCCCCAGGGGAGTCCCAATGGTGGTTGGGACATCCAGAGCAGCCAGAGGCCTGGATAGGGATGGCTCAGGGCTCGATTTTGTGAGGGGGAGTCACCACACGCTGTGCTGCTCGGGCCGGTTTCCCACGGCACTCGGAAATCGGATACAGGGCTCCTAAAACTGGCTTCAGGCACCAGGCAAGGGGGACAAGAGTCTGAAATAGGCCAGCCTGAGGCCACACAGGCATATAGCTGTGAAGGGCAGCCTGAGAAAGGAATCAAGTCCCTGGACCAGAACTTGAGGCCAGCCCCACGGTTCTTTAGTGACCTCACGGCATGGCTGCAGAGGTGAGCTGGGCACCAAATGCACGCCCGATCGATGTTCACTATAGTTGGCAATCCTGTTCTGAGGACCTCCGTGGGTCCTCCAGGGGGTAAAGGCTTTACACACCAGGATCTTTTTAACCACATCACTCTTTAAAAAATGTTTATTTTGAGAGAGAGAGAGAGAGAGAGAGAGTGCTGGGGAGGGGCAGAGGGGGAGAGAGAATCTTAAGCGAGGTGCAGGCTCAGCGTGGAGTCCAATGTGGCTCTCCATCCCATGACCCTGAGATCATGACCTGAGCCGAAATTAAGAGTCGGGTGCCAGGCGCCCTTTAACTGCATCACTGTTGACAGGTGGGCTGATAATTCTGGGTTGGGAGGGACGTTCAGCAGCAGCCCTGGCCTCTTTACTAGAGGCCAATAGCACTGTCACCTCCAGTTGTGCAAAAATGTCTCTAGATGCTGCCACTGTCCCCCAGGGGATCAATCACCTGGTGAGAGGCACTGGGCCTACCCGACCCGTGGTTAATCCGCTGAGACGTGGACAATGGCTGTGCTGGTATATCAAGAGGGGCCTGTGGACACCCACCTGCTTGCTGGGACCCAGAGCCCGCCCTGTCCCAGCCCGGTCGCGGGGACTTTCAGCTGGTCCATTCAACATAGGGTTTTCAGCCCAGAGTAAACCAAATCTAGATCTAATCTAGATCTAGTGCCTACCTCCCTTTGCCAAGGGGCGGCCAGAAGCTCCTGCTGTCGCCTTGCAAGCAGAGTGGGAGGTCTGCACCCCTCGCCTGCCCCTGGTCATGCCTACAAGGGGCCGGCCCCACCATCACTAGCACCTCCCAGCTCGTTTTATAAACGAGGAAACTGAGGCTCAGTGAGTTCACATGACCTGCCAATGTCGCCCAGCTTGTAAGCGGCCGAGTGGGGGCTCTGCTCCTGGGTCTATTTACCACCACAGCCCAGGACGTGGCGTGGGGGGCGTCTGCCCAACTTTGAAGCAGAGGAAGGGACCAGACACAGCACTTTCCATTTCTCTACTTGGAACGGAGCCCCCTGATGTCCGGGCAGAGCGACCGCAGGCCAAAGAGGCAGCCGCTGTGTGTTTGGCAAACCCACTGGGGGTCATTCGAAGGCTTCTTTCATGGAGGGAGGTGGTTGGCCAGCAGGCGGAGCATGCTCCCGGGGAGCCAGCGCTAATGAGGCTGTTGTTGGGCCCACACCACGGCTTCCTGGAGACTGGCCTGCAGGGGCCACCCAGGCCATCCGTTCCCCTGCCACAGGCTCGGGGGGTGGGGTGGGGACACAGATGCAGGAAAAGCCATGTACAGACCTTCTGTGGTCAGTGCCGGTCTCAGTAGGTCTCTTACCTTCACCTGTGTCCCCTCCCGTCACTGCAAATGCTTACCAAGCCCTACCCCAATGCCTGCCACAGCCTTCTAGGGAACCCTTACAACAGGAGGAGGAAGGTCCCATCATTATCCCCTTACTAGGATGCTTTGAGGAGGCCCCTTTTACACATAGCATAAGGAGGGATAGCATAAGGAGGGATCCGAACCCAGGTGGCCGGGCTCCAGAGCTCATGTCCTATCCACTGTACCACACTGCCTCTCGCACACTTCGTTAGCTCTAAAACACCAGCTCGCTGCTAGTTGAATTCCACTCTGGTATCCCACCAGAAGCGAAGGAAAGGGCTCCTTTCCTTTCCTTTTTTTTTTTTTTCTCTTGGTTTATTTGAGAGAGAGAGAAAGAGAGAGAGCGAGTGCACAAGTGGGGCAGGGGCAGAGAGGGAGAGAGAACTCCAAGCAGACTCCACGCAGTCAGCACAGAGCCCAACTCAGGGCTCGAACTCATGAGCCGTGAGATCATGACCTGAGCGGAGATCAAGAGTCGGATGCTGAACCAACTGAGCCCCCCAGGTGCCCCAGGGCCCCCCTTTCCTTCTCGAGGCAAGGGATTTGTTCATGTGTCTTCACTGTGTCTCCCAGCACCTGGCATGGTGTGCAGCAAACGAGAGTGCTCAGTGACAACTGCGTGACTGGATGGATGGATGGATGGACGGGCGGATGGACAAAGCAATGAATCCTACATCATCATGTAGGATGGTGTCCTGAGGGCCGGCTGTGGTGCTGGGTGCTTTACCTGGATCTTTTTCCATCCCCACACCCACCTGGCCTGGTGGACATAATGATCCCAGCTGTACCAAGGAAGAAACCACAGGTGCCGAAAGGCAAGTTCTCGAGTCCCCGATGACTTCGCACTTGGTTCAGGGCCTGGCACAGAGGGCTTGTCCTGGATCAGAGAACCCAGTCACTTGGATACATGCTACATGCCCTTGGTGGGCCCTTCATCAAGGAATAAACCGATCAACCCCCTGCTCTGAGCAGCCACTGTACCACCACCAGGGGAGGGACCAGCAAGAGGCAAGACCCTCTTGGTCTTGCATCCTGCACCCTGGAACACCAGCAGAGTGTGACTTGTGGCTGGAGAGGCCAGTGAGGTGGCCAGAAGGGAGCTGCGGGCAGAGGTCATGGGAAGCCAGATCACGTGGGGTGTCTGGGTGCCGAGATGGGGACTGCAGGAGGGTTGTGATGTGATTTTTTTACAGACTTACTGCAGGGAGGGGGCGGCCAGGGCAAAAGCAGGGAAACCACTGAGGTGGTGGCTGTCACAGGAACACGAGAGAGAGACCAGCGTGGCAGGAATGGGAGGGAAGAGAAGTGGTCTGATTGGGAGTGTTTTTCTGGAATGAGCTACAGGACCCGCACGGGGGTGTGAGAATGAACGGCGGACAAGAGCTCAACACTGGGAGGCACCATGTCCACTGCCCGCTCCCCTCTGGCCCAGGGGTCCCTTCCCGTGTGAGCAACGCTCCGCACTGAGCCCAGGGCCTGGCACACGGCAGGTGCCGTCTCCCTCGTTAGGAAAGCGCTCACCCGGACCATACATGGACGAGCAGGCGCCCCTGCCCCAACCCTGGCGCTTCTGGCTTCCACCCTCTTCAGGATTAACGCGGCTTGCGGCCTTCTCTTCGCAAAGCAGAAGGAGCTCTGACTCCGGCCTGGGACCCTCTGGAGTCCCAGTTGCCTCACAAAGCACACCCATAGGCACACGCTCAGATACCTGTTTAACAGACCCGGCTTGGGGTTTTAGTGATTCAGGGTCAGGCTCCACAGAGACAGGAGACAGGAGCACACCGCCCTTCTCAGACCGACACCCCCCCACCCCTGCCCCGACCCGGCACGTATAAATACCTCCTTCCAATGGTAACACCCTGACGGGAGCCCTGTACTGAACACTCAGGCTTCAGTCCCTAAACGCAACGACGTGCGAGGCAAAGGTGTCAGTCCAGGGACAGCAATGTTGGAGGGAAGACCGGCAGGGTCGGGAAGCTCCCTCTGCACATTTACTTGGTGCGCGGTTTTAGGTTGCAGCAGAAATGGCCTGCTCCCCAACTACAGGGAATTCTTCACCATCGAAACTCGTCCAATTCAAACTCAGAAACCGAACATGCCAGCCTCACTCACGCACTATCCAAACCCCAGAAAACATGCGAGTGACTGCAGGGAGAGGTACTGCTCTCCCTTACGCGCCCCTGCACTTCCCAGCCTCTTTTGCAGTGTGGTTGGGGCCGTAGGACTGTTGGCCGTAGGCCGATGGGCTGAGTGGAGCTGACTTGTGTGGCTTCTGGTTTGGGACACTGAAAAATGGGTGTCCATCACCCACACTTTCCCCTCCCCTGGTCTCTGGAAGCCAGCCTCGAGAGGTTATGTCATAAGCCCAGAAGGGCCTGGATCACTAAGCTGCTGCATGGAAGGCAGGGACCCTAGAGAGGCACCCGATGCTCATCAAGACACAGGAGTGAGAAACAAACCCTTTTGTTCATTTCCTAAGAGTTTAGGGCTAATTTGCTAACTGCAGGGCAGCCTGTCCTGTCCTGATGCAAAGGGATTTTCTAGGGTCATTTTGGCCACGTGGGACTTTCACCCTCCTTGTGTCTTAGAACCTGAGCAGGGTTGTGCGTATCAGACACACTGCTGCTTGTCTGCACAATCCCAGGAGGCAGGTACGATCAGCCCCATCTTACAGATGAGGCTGCCGAGGCACAGAGACCAAGTGGCTCACAGGGCCAGTGAATCCAAGGGTGGGATTCAGACCCAGCCTCTGTCCACTGTGCCATGCTGACTCCCCGCTAAACTGCACCTGCTTAACCTCTAAGGTCCCATTTCCAGACGAGCGCTCCTGCTGGAGACGACAGGTGTGCCAAAGAGAAAGAAGAGAAGCAGATGAGAGGGTACCCAGTCCTGACCCCTGAAGGACAGGGCTGAAGCCTCTGTTAACGCCCCGAGAACACAGGACAACTGTTCAGTAAGAAACAAAATATTCTTTTTTACTGCAAATTACTTGCAAATGTTCACGTTTCCAGTGTAAGTCGTTAGAAAAAGATCCCCAAGAAAAACCTGGTTTATCTAGTGTGAAAGAATGGTATAACTTACAAAAAAAATAAATATGTATTTCCATCTAAAAGAAAGATGCCTCTCTGGGTTTGAAGTCAGCAACGCAGTTCATAGCAAGTATGAATCTTGGAGTAGCAGTGACCTTCCTCTGCTTTGGGGTCTCACCGTGCTCCCTGAGAGCTCTAAACAGGACGGGCCTCGAAGGACTCTGCTTCTCCGTTCTCCTCCAGGAACACGTGGACCAGCTGTCAGAAGCCGGCCGACGTGGCCATTGCCTGGGAATGCTGCTCCTTGGCTAACCCTTCCTCCCAAGAAATTAAAGTCTTGAGACTGTTTTTCTCCCTAGAGCAGCATTTGAAGGGGAAAAAAAAAAAAAGAAGAAAGAAAAAGCAGCAGTCACTGATGTTCGTGAACGGGTCCTTTTCTCATCCTGGAAGAGACTCAGTAATGAAATGTCGAGTTCTCCACACTGCCACCTTCAAGCTAACCAGATGCCAAGGGCGAGAAAAGAAATCTAAATACCCGGAGGCGCGGAGGGGGATCAACAGGGCTCATTTAGGTACCAACGCGTTGTACTTAGGAGGTACCTGGTGCTCCCTTGACCTTGACCGCTTCATAACCATTGGCAGATCTTCTCTCTCAGGGACTACAGAAGTAGAGCCATTCTAGCAATGGGTAGGAAGAGGGAGGAAGGAGAGCAGGGAGAAGACTGGAGCGGACAAGGCGCTGAGCAGCCAGGCAGGGGAGTCAGCACTGAGATGATCTCCGGGCCCAGACAGCCCACAAGTCCTGCTGAGTCCCGTCAGTGAGAAGTCCATGGACATGGAGGCTGGCCCCATGTGTGACACATGTACCAGTGAAGTGGGGCTGGGACATCAGGACCTAGCGTCTGAGCGCCTGGAAGACCAGAGGGTTGGTGACAGGAGAGTCCCTGGCCCTCAAGGTACTGCCCGAGGGTGAGAATGATCTTCCCAGGCCCCTCACCTCCCACCTGCAGCCCCAAGGAAACAAAGCATTCTGGGAGGAGCCAGACAAGGAAGGACGTCAGAGGCGCCACAGGCAGCTGTCGGGGGCCGGCGAGCTTCTCAAAGACGGAATCCACAGACTTTGGCTGGAGAGATCTGAGGCAGTTGGCTGGATTTGGTCACTAGCATACTTTACGAAACCCATTTCTCCGGCTGTCCGGCCACCAAACCTCCTAACAAAGCACCAAGAGCACAAGTGTGCACTCCCAGGGGCATGAGAACGTATATACATCTTGTAGGGGCAATGGAGGTGAGGGTGGGAGTGTTTGGGGGGGCCGCATCTCTGGGTCTCTCCTGGTGCTTCGTGGTCAGTTCCAGGTTGGGGGCCGGACGGGTTGCTTTGTGTGTGTTTTCATTTTTTTTTTTCTTTCTTTTTTCTTTTTGGTTTCAGTAGACAGGAGGCTTGGGTTCCCCAGAACAGCGCCTCATCCCTGGATGCTGCCCTGTCAGCCCTGTAAATCCGACCAGATGCACCAGCTCTGGGGCTCACACCAGGCCAGCATCTTTGGCCATGCTGTAGAAAAGACCTCTCTCCTGCAGGAGGTCCAAGGGGTGGCCACACTCCCGGATTTCTCCTTTGTCTAGGACGATTACCCTGCAAGAGGAGGGGACACAGACATGAGGGACAGGGAAACAGTTGGCACCCTGGGCCCCCAAGAGCCACATGACCAACTCCCTGCTTTGGGTCAGGGCCCTAATGCCTCGTGTTAGGACTGGTGCAGTAGCCTTCCAACTGGCTGCCCATCCTCAATCCCTCCTCTTGTCACTGTCTAAGTCCTGTGATGCTTACGCTCATTACCGGCTGTCACTTCTTACATTTCCTTCCCGGAGCAATCAGCTTTTGTTCGTTGCTGTGTTTGCTGTCTATATCCTATACACAGCCCCCAACTAACCTATCAGGTCCCTCAGGCAGGCTCCTTCTCTGATACCTCCTTGCTGAGTCCCCAGTGCCTAGAACAGGACCAAGAATGTGGCAGGGACCTCACACACGTGTGTCGATTGAATCAATAATGGAGTGATGCCAGAAACACCCAGCGTAAAGAGAGGGCTGTGATTAGACACGGGATGAAGATGCTGTACAAACGGGTAAATCCCAAGGCTGACAGGCCTTCTATGCCAGCAGCATCACCTTGTGTAGTCCATGATGGTGTTGAGCCGGTGAGCAATGGTCAGGACAGTGCAGTCGTCAAACTGCGTCCGGATGGTAGACTGAATGAGGTCATCGGTTTCGAGGTCCACGGCCGCGGTGGCCTCATCCAACACCAGGATCTTTGTCTTCCTCAGCAGAGCCCGGGCCAGGCACACAAGCTGACGCTGCCCAACGCTTGAGCGGAGACAAAGAGCAGGAGACAGAGTGTCACAACCACCCCTGACCCTGAGCCCAGGCCTGAGCTGGGAGAAGAGAGAAGAGACACCAGGAAAGCACTGCCACTCCCCGCTCCTGCGCCCACGGCAGACGTTAGTGATGCCAGGACATTCTTGCTGCTGACCTAGAAGCGGGCTCAGGATCGTTTTCAACACAGGACTCGGAGGGGATATCCAAAATATGTGACGAGGGCAACACGGGCGATGTGACATCACAAGATGGCCCCACATGCGTGCCTTCTGTAGGACCCTCCCCGTTGACTCTGGACTCAACCAAGTGTCTTGCTTTGGTCAAGGGCATGCTGGCAAACATAAGGCCAGCAGAGGCTTGCACCGGGAATGCACACCAGGGTTTGTGCACTCTTGCGCCTCTGCCGTCACCATGACAACGTGCTTGGGCTGGTCTGCTGAAGGAGGAAGGACATGTGGAGCAGACCCTAATTGCCCCCGCGGACCCCCAGCCAGAGGAGTGAGCCACGAACAGCGGAGCCGCCTGGCCGATCACCCCAGGTGTCTGAACGGTCACTGCCACTGCTCAACACATCTGAGGCTTGGGGGTTGGCGGCCACAGAGATGGGCAACTGAGCCAGCCACTGACTAACAACACTGGAGCAGGACTCTGGTTTGCTGTTGTGCCAGCATGAATACTTTGGTTGCTGGGTCATGGGTGGATCCTGGGACAAGGGCCAACGCAGCTCGGGCAGTGAGTGGTGACTCAGAGGGCTCAGAAAAGTGCTATTAACCGACTGACAGAGAAGCTTTTCAACAGTTTAACAAGCGACAGTCACTCTCAATTGAATAAATCTGGTGGAAGGAAGGAACCGTATTAGCCTTCCCGGTTATAGTTCATGGTAAAAAGTCAGTCTGGACTGAAACCCATTTCACAGATACTGAAACTGAGGCTCCAAGAGGTTAAGAGAAATTGGCTTGTCTGTGGCAGAGCCGGGACTCAAACCCAGGTCGGACACATATGCATAAGGACCAAGGCGGAGCCGAGGAGACCCGGTCAGGGCCTCACATGCCTGCCTACCTCAGGTTCTCCCCGCCTTCTGCACACTCGTGGTTCAGCTTATCGGGAAGGGCTGACACAAAGTCCTTGAGGTGAGCCAGCTCCAGGGACGTCCAGACTTCTTCATCGGAGTACTGGCTGAACGGGTCCAGGTTCATGCGCAGGGAACCCGAAAACAAAACAGGGTCCTGTTCGGGGAGAAAACGGCAGATGGCATGTGAGGCTCACGTCATGTTGGGTAGGGATGAGGCAGAAGGGTGGGGTGTGAAAACATCTGATAGGGTCCCAGGGCTCCTTGGAATCACCCTTTCTGGAGACGTTAATAATGGGGGGAAACCAGTTTGGAAAACCTTGGGTTAAGTGAAATAAAATAGATTTCTTGTTGTAAGACTTTCCAGGGGCTTCAATATGCAAATGTACTGGAACCTTCCAGAAGAGAGAAGCAGCCTGGGTAATCCCTGATCATCAAGTGCCATGGATTCCGCCCTGTTCCCTGCCTACAAAGTTAACAGTCTTAGAAAAAATCTTAGAGAAAATAACATGACAAGTAAACACACGAGGGAATCACCACCTACAGAAATCAATCTAGAAAATCCATTTTCCTCTCCTGGCTCTTGAGAGACTTATTCTCGTCCCGACTGGAGCCAGCGGGAGTGAAGAAATGATATCCAGTTAATTGCCACTGTTATTTGTATGCTAAGAGGAGATTCAGTGGCAAAGAAACCGTATGGTTTCGATGAAAATAACAAAATAGGAACACATTTACATTTGTCCTGAAAATACACCTACGTAAGCTTTCAGGGTGCCCCACTGACGCCCTCGGCACACCAGACCCCACCTGTGGGATAATGGTGATCCTGAAGCGCAGATCATGTAGGCCAATCTTGGCTATGTTGATGTCGTCGATAATGATCTCTCCCTCAGCAGACTCGTTGATCCGAAACAAGCCCAGGGTCAGGGATGACTTCCCCGCTCCTGTCCGCCCCACGATGCCAACCTGTGGGGCAGGAAGGGCCCAGGGTAAGGCAGGAAGGCTGGTATCTGGGGGTTACCTCTTGCCCTCCCCCAGGGGGCCCGCATTTCAGGTATCCACCCTAGAGCAGTTCAGTCACCTGGTCGACCCAGTGTCTACCACAGCCCTCCCCATCAGTAGCTTCCCAGGGACATTCCTTCAGGGGCTGTTTTGGCCAAGGGTGAAGAAGGACTTCTGTCTCGGGGCGCCTGGGTGGCTCAGTCGATTAAGCATCTGACTTTGGCTCAGGTTATGATCTTGCAGATCATGAGTCTGAGCCCTGCATCGAGCTCTCTGCTGTCAGTGCACTGCCTGCTTTGGATGTCTGACCCCCTACCTCTCTGCCCCTCCCCAGCTCATGCTCTGTCAAAATAAATAAAAAAGGGGACTTCCTTCTCTTTGTCAGCTCTTTTTATAAGTTAAAATTATAATCACTTCTTTTGATACGTGAGCACAGATCTCCCAAAGAGGGCTCAGGCAGAAGGGGTTTTCCATAAAGCCCCATTTGTTTTCAACTCTCGAAAATACTGGTAATCAGGTATTTTCCCCCTACTGTTTTTCAGTCCTTTGATGGTGAGTTTCCCATCCCGAGCTGCTGAAATATCTCAAAGATTCAAGCAGATCCCCCTGCACACCACACCTTCTCCCCTCGACCCCAGCTGCATGAGCAAAAAAGAGGTTATGGATAGGACCGGTCTCCCTGTTCAGTGGCCAATGATGGACATTCCTGACACCCAGTTACAACTCTTGCCTTCTCATCTGGGCTCTTGAAAGGCAGGCTTTCTCCAACCTCTAACAAAAATGTCACAGAGGAGAGTCTCATGATACAACACAAACCATAAAGCCTCAGTGAGAACACCACCCACTCTATTCTTCCCCTTGTTCTTAGAGAAATTATCTCACGGGAATAAAACGTTCTGAGCCTCGCAGCAGGAACGGCTTAACAAACACACACGTTTAGAGATGAAGGAAACACTGTCCCATGGCAGGTGACCAGGAAGACCCTTAAGTCTGATTCCTGAGGAGGGTCTAAAGGTCTCAGGGCAAGGACGTCTTACAGGAGCAGCCTGGGACCAGGGGTACATTCCAAACTTCTGACACCCTCACATGTTCATCGAGCCACCCCTACTAGTGATGACAGCATCTTCCTATTGTAGAGCTGGCAAACCTGAATGCCTGCAGGGGACAGCTAGGCACACAAGTGAGACAGGGAGGGACAGGGTGAGCTGAGAAGCTCTTGTCTGGTCTAGAAAAAGCCAGGCAGGGAGTGTAAGCCCAGTGTTGCTACATGTTCTGATCTTTTTTTTTTTTTAAATGTTAATTTATTTTTTTTGAGACAGAGAGAGACAGAGCATGAACGGAGGAGGGACAGAGAGAGGGAGACACAGAACCTGAAACGGGCTCCAGGCTCTGAGCTGTCAGCACAGAGCCCGACGCGGGGTTCGAACTCATGGACCGTGAGATCATGACCTGAGCCGAAGTCGGACGCTTAGCCGACTGAGCCACCCCCGCGCCCCCCCCCCCCCTTTTTTTTCATGTTCTGATCTTTCAAGAAAAGCAGGAAGTGGATCTTTACAGAAGGCACACCAGATTTTTCATAATTTTCAACATACTCAGATTTCTTCCCCCCCGCCCCCGAAAACACACAGGTGGGCCTCATTTGGTGCCCGGTCAACAGTATGCAACACACCTGGGACACTGAGCAGCTTTTACCTCCACAAGCCCCACCCCCACGGTCCAGGGCCATGATAAACTGGGGGAATGGGGCACCTGGTTTCGCCTGCCCCACTGTGAACGGATGGGGGAAACAAGGTACACCCACCTTCTCCCCTCCATGGATGGTGACGTTAATGTGCTTGAGAACCAAGTCCAGGTTTTCCCGGTAACGCAGGCCGTAGTCTCGGAATTCTACCTGGCCAACCTGAGGCCAGGTGCTGGGCGGAGCCGTCTCGGGGATCTGCCAGGGAGCCTGTGATCGGGAGTGGGGGGTGGCGGTAAGGGATCTTCAGTCCCATGTGACCCAAGGCTGTAGGTGACCTGCAGGTCCCCTCTGACCTCATCTCCCTCCCTCTTGCTTACTTGGCTCCCCACGGGGCTGCACTACCTCTCAAACACACCTGCGTACCTCGGTGCTGGGCCTTTGCACCTGCAGGTGCCCCTGTCTGGAATGCTCTTTCCCAAACTAGCCTCTCATGCGCTCCCTGGCATGCTGCAGATCTTCCGCCAATTCAGACCACCCCCTGCCTCTGTGGCCTCCATCCCCTCCCCTGCTTCGTTCTCCTCCAGACCACCGGGCACCTCCTAGCACCGCAGGTGTGCATTAATTCGCTTATTCTGTCACCCACGCCCCCTGGAACATCTCTGTCAGGACAGGTTCTTTCCCTGCTCGCTGTCATACTCCAGGCACACAGTAGGGACTCCACGAATATTTGTGGACTGTACCAATAAGTGAGTGGTCTTCTCTGGTCAGACACAAGGGCAGAGGTGTCCGTCTGAATGCCTTCTACATCTGGACACCAACTATGCAGCAACGGCTAATGAGAAAGATCACGGTCCCGTGACCTCACTTCATCCTCACTACAATCCCATGAGAGGGGTCCTTTCATTACCCCCAGTTTACACATGAGGAAACTGAAACACAGAGAGGGTGAGTAACTTGCCCAGAGTCACATAGCCCCTATTTCTGAAAAGCTTCTTAAGTTCAGTTCAGCATTTCCTGAGCTCTACAACTGGATGTGCTCCGGGCCAGGCTGGAGGCTACCTTTGGGGGAGCTGAGGAATGGAGGGGACAGCAAGAGAGAACTTTCATCCTTCCTCCCCCATAAGCTTGTTTCATTAATTTTCATTTACAACAAGCACAGTCCCCTTTTACAAATTTATGTATAATGCAGGGGATACGCTGTAAGAACACGGAGGGCACTGGAGAGAGAGGTGGGTGGAACTTTCTAACTGTGAAAATATATTCTATATAAATACATATTTTTTAGTAGTGCTAAGACCCTGGATCTTTACATTCTTTTGTATTTTTCAAGTATGCTCTTATTTGAGAAATTAAAAAAGTAAGTAATTAAAAGAAGTAAAAACAAAAATTTTTTAAATAAATTTAATTTCGGGGCACCTGGGTGGCTCAGTAGGTTAAGGGTCTGACTCTTGGTTTCAACTCAGGTCATCTCATGGTTCGGGAGACTGAGCTGACAGCACAGAGCCTGCTTAGGATTCTGTCTCTCCCTCTCTCTCTCTGTCCTTCCCCTGCTTGGGCTCTGTTTCTCTCTCTCTCTCTCTCTCTCTCTCAAAAACAAATAAACAAACATCCAGAAATTAAAAAAAATAAATTTAATTTCATACTTCATGCACAGTGAACTGCAGGCCATGTGAATTAGATCTTAAAAACTAAAAAAATAAATTCGATGTTGAGCGCGAAAACCCCTGGTGTAATACACTCTTATTTCCACAGGGGGCGCTCACACCATTCTGACTAATGCTCTCCCATGAAGCGGGACCTGGTTCACCTGTGTAAGTCTTTTTTTTTTTTTTTTTTTTTAATTTTTTTTTCAACGTTTATTTATTTTTGGGACAGAGAGAGACAGAGCATGAATGGGGGAGGGGCAGAGAAAGAGGGAGACACAGAATCGGAAACAGGCTCCAGGCTCTGAGCCATCAGCCCAGAGCCTGACGCGGGGCTCGAACTCACGGACCGCGAGATCGTGACCTGGCTGAAGTCGGACGCTTAACCGACTGCGCCACCCAGGCGCCCCCACCTGTGTAAGTCTTAAGGACGGGGCATTTTCTTGGGAGGCAGTGTGCCAATGGCCACGTAACCTTGAGCAAAGTAACTTAACCCTGTGTCTTAGTTTCCTGGTGCGTAAAATGGGGATCATGACAGAACATGAGCTATAAGGCTACATAAAGATTACACGAATTACTCTACATAAATTGTATGAATTACTCTATGTAAAATGTGTAGGACAGGGCTGACAGCTCCCGAGGGCCCAACATGTGTCCCTAATATTACTGGTGGTGGGGGCGATGAGGGAATCCACTGGTATTGTCACCATGATCACTGCCAATGCCACCAGTGACAGCGTGTAGACAGAAAACGGCACTTTCTAGGGGCAATGTGGCACTGATGTCTGGACACTTGGGTCCTACCCTGACCACGTGTGACCTTGGATCAGTCACTGTCCCTCCCCAGGCGACCCTCTCCTCCATCTATAAAATGGGGACTTGGGTCAAACAACTGCCGGGTTCCCCAAACTTCGGTCGTGATTTTTACAACATCCACGTACTGACTCTCTTGCTGTTGACTTTCAGGGCTTTGAAACAACTGATATTTAATTTTTAAATGTGAAGATGAAACTCGTCTCATTCTGCACCACACAAGTCCCTCATATAGATAAGTAACAAAGAACAGAAGAATTTTCGCTGAATAGGGGTTGTCTGTTGAAGGCACCCAGGTCGCGCTGATGAGGTCAGGTGAGGGCAGGCGAGGGCAGGCCAGGGGCCGGCTTTACCTCCTTCTCCGTTTCCGAATACTCCTTCAGTCTCTCCACGGCCACGATGTTGGTCTCCAACTCGGACGACATGCGAACCAGCCAGTTCAAGTATGTGGTGACCTGTGCACAGAAGAGTCACATGGAGCTTCTGGGGTGAGCAGAGGCTGCTTTATCTTCAGCAAGTGATTATGAATTACGCAATTTTTTTAGGTAAGAAAGGTACCAGCCTCACGTACCGCCGTCGCCAGACCGCACCTCTTAGGCAAGCACGTTTCAAAATAACCCCTGGGCCACACAAGCAATCAGAAAGGGCATCAGAAAAGATTTCCAACGAGATGGTAATAAGGGAAAACCCAATGTATCAAAATTTGGGCAATGTGGCTAAAGCCGGAATGAGAGATAAAGTGATAGAGTGAAAAGCATTTTTCCTGTCGCTGGAGGCATCCTCTTGGTTCATCAAGGGCTTTCCTTGACTGACGGGAGAATCCCGGCCCTGTGTCTCATCTCCCTCCAGCACCAGCAGGTCACTGGGCTTCTCAAACGCCGCTTGGCCCCTCACCTCTCCCCCAGCTCCCGCGGGGATTCAAAGCAAAGTCCCGAGACCCTGACAACTTAAGAGAATGCAGCTGGGGGCACCTGTCTTACCTGCAGTGAGTAGGACACCGAGAGGCCCACTAAGCCGGCGCTGAGACTGTGCCTGGAGATCACGGCGAACAGGGCAGCAAACAGGACGATGCAGTTGCCTACGCACTCCAGCCGCACGGCCAGCCACCTGCTCACAGACACACAGGCAGATGGACAGACACACCAGGAGCTGGCTCATCAGAGATGTGGTTTCTGGCTCAAGCCGGGGAAGGAGGGAGGCACTTTGCTAATGGAAAGAATTCCCCGAGAGCTCCCGAGACAGGCCTTCAATCTGTCCTCTCACGGGGGAAGGAGAGCCAAAGGGACACGGTCTCACTAACTCCTCATTGATCTCGCAACCCCGGGGGACTGAAACGGAGTTCTCCAGAAGGAGCCTTCCCGGGAAACTGAAGCTTGCCTTTTTAAGAACCAACTTTTTTTTTTACGGAAACCTTTATAACATACCCATGTACACCCATCTGCAAAGACAGGTCCAGGAAAGTTCCTAAATACTAAGAAGTCATCAACTGTAAGAGGCAGCACTGTTGTAAAAATAACCTTTCCTTGGCAGAAGGGGGAAGGGAGAGTGAGAAATGAAATACTATTTTCAATGTAGCCGTAATGTTCCTAGATCACCCTCCTTTTAGAAATGTTAAAATACACTGTTTTACCTCTTGGAATATAAACAGATAACGTTATTGGTTTAAAGCGAACTTCCCCAGCATTACCTCCAAGCGTTAGGAATATTAGTGATTTAAGGTGTAAAACATTTTAGGGAAATGGTGTTGTTGATCTTATTTCCACTACAGCCCTTAAGATTCGTGTGACTGGGGGTGCCTGGGTGGCTTAGTAAGTTGAGCGTCTAACTTCGGCTCAGGTCATGATCTCACGGTTTGTGGGTTCAGGCCCCACATCGGGCTCTGTGCTGACAGCTCAGAGCCTGGAGCCTGCTTCCGATTCTGTGTCTCCCTCTCTCTCTGCCCCTCCCTTGCTCACACTCTCTCTTTCTCTCTAAATATATAAATAAATAAATAACATAAAAAAATTTATCTTTTTTTTATTAAAAAAAATTTTAACATTTATTTATTTTTGAGAGATAGAGTGAGCGAGAGTATTAGCAGGGAAGGGGCAGTGAGACAATGGGGACACAGAACCCAAAGCGGGTTTGAACGGGGCTCGAACTCATGAGCCACGAGATCGTGACCTGAGCCGAAGTCAGACGCAAAACGAAGTGAGCCACCCGGGCGCCCCAAAAAAAGAAAAAATTTAAAAAGATTCACGTGCCTGATCTTCCTGGGTGTGAGCTTATCCTAAAAACAGACCCAAATTTGAGAAACTCCCTGACGATTCTGCAGGGGAAGGTCAGGTCTCCAGTGATTCATGGTCTCCCCACCCAGTCTTACCTTCTGGGATTATACTGTGTACGACGGGGCAACAGTTGGTTACGACACGTTGCTCCCAGGGTGAGTCACCCCTCTCCAGAATTTCCTATCCCACATCTCAAAAAACGTATCAGGACATGAGTGAGGAGAATATTCTTTTAGGGATAAGTCAGATACTTTTCTGAATTTAGTCGACAAGTAGCGAACTCCTGTCCCTTCTTTGGGACGGATGCTTTTTTCACCATGGCCATTTCACGTGGTCCAACCTCAGGCTGGTGAACGGCTTCCAAAGCTCATCACACAGGGGTGGTGGGTGATCCCCCCCGTCAGCTGAGAACCAGGCCACAAAAATATCAGCTGAGCCCGCCTGTCACCGATGACCTTGTACCGTCAGGACCACAGCGGACGGATAGTTCCTGCAGCGTTTTCTGACTCCAGAAAATCTTGCTCCCTGCTGTTCCTCAGTGCCACCGGAGTGCCTGTGCTTCAAGCTGCCAGTGCTCCTGTCTGCCTTGAATATTATTCTGTCCCTTCCCACCCCCACCAAGTCTAACCATCCCGTGCGTGAGGCCCTCCTCCAGGAACTAGGGCTTCCTTCACCTCCTCCTGCGGGCCTCGGGTGCCCACCTGTTGGCCACGATGCTGGGGTAATAGGCCTTCTGGTTCTCGTCCACCTTCAGGTCGCTCTGGCGGATGAAGCGCTCCTGTTCCTCGAAGGCGCGGATGACGCTGACCCCCAGCAGGGTCTCGTTGAAGTGGGAATACACTGGGGAGCGGCTGACGGATTCGAGGCGTTTCAGCTGCCGGGACGAGGCCACGTAGAACCTCTAGGGGAAGAGAACGGACCAGGGAGCTGGCAAAGCCCCTCCCATGCCAGCCAGCCACCCCCCACCAGGGCCGCGCTGGACAAAGCCTGGACACACACGGCACCTCCGGAAGGCAAGATGGCGGAGCTGGGCTGCCTTTTAACAGGTGTCTCTGCTCACCCGATGCCAGCACAACAGAATGACGACAGCGACCACATAATGCCAGCAGCTCAGGCCCACGGGGAGCCGACTACCCTAGCACAGTTTGAAGTCCTTCCACAGAATCGGCTCATTTCATCGTCACCACACAGCCAGGAGTCGGTGCTCATTTGCACGGACCGTCAGTAAACCCAGGCACAAAGAAGCTCGCTGACCTCTTCCCCCTCAGGTCCCCCTCAGGCGACAAGTGGCCGAGCTGGGGGGCTGGACTCGGAGAAGCCGGCTGTCAAGGGTGAACCCCTGCACTGTCCTGCCTCTCTCAAGCCAAGACCTCTAGGGTTTTCTGGACCCAGCAGCGTGGCCTTTGGCCTCCACCCGTCCCCGCGGGCAGTCACCCCATCGGCTCTGCTCCTGCCCTAACCAGGGCAGATGGAACAAAAGCAAAGCAAATCGCGCCCTGGAAGCTTCGAGGACCCGCCCTTAGATGACAGACTGGTCACGTGAGGACATTTAGTTCTCACAGCCTTAGTTTCCTCGTCTGTACAAACAGGACCGGGGAGACTGAGGTTCCCCATTCTGGAGGTGGCACGTAATGCGAAGGCAGGTGTTTCACAAGCGACACAGCCAGACAAATGAACAAGACAGGCAACAAAGGGTGGTTAGGGACACGGCCTCCCCGCCTCCTGGGGCCCTTGTGGGGGCAGAGACCTTCCACAGAGAACAGTGAACATAATGGAGGAGTCGGACGGGGCTCCGAGTTTAGCAGCTGCTTCCTGGACGGCAGAGTGTGCGGTCACCTGAACCCACACCTGGGCAGCCTTCTGGGTCCTGGAAACTCTGTAAGCTAACCCAGCACCACGCCAGCCAGGGCAGGCCCACGACGGTTGCTCTGCCAGTCCCGAGGGTAGGCCAGATGCCCTCTCTGCTCCCGAGCCTCTCGGCCTTGAACAAAACCCTGATGCCTCGGCCCCGCGGGATCTGCCCTGGGAGGGTTCCTCTCCCCGGCTTTCTTTCTAAACATCCCGGATGGAAATCATTCTCAAGTATTTTCCCTGCTCAACCTACTCCACTTTATTTACTGTAGAAAGCTACCCTGAGATGTATTTGTCTTTAAATTGTTGTTTGCTTACTTACTTTTAATTTTAAAAAATATTTTATTTATTTTTCAGAGAAGACAAGTGGGGGAGGGGCAGTGAGAGAAGGACAGAGGATCCGAAGTGGGCTTTGTGCGGACAGCAGGGGGCCCAACACGCGGCTCGAACTCATGAACCGCAAGATGATGACCCGAGCTGAAGCCACCCAGGAGCCCCTAAACTCAGTCTTTTAAAAAAATAACTATTAGCTAGCTTCCCTTTTATTATTTTTTTTAAATTTTTTTAATCTTTATTTATTTTTGAGAGAGAACGTGTGAGCAGGGGAGGAGCAGAGAGAGAGGGAGACAGAATCTGAAGCAGGTTCCAGGCTCTGAGCTGTCAGCACAGAGGCCAACGTGGGGCTGTAACTCACAAACCGCGAGATCATGACCTGGGCCGAAGTTGGACGCTCAACCGACTGAGCCACCCAGGCGCCCCGCTAGCTTCCCTTTTAAACTCTATTCCAGGAGACATAATTCACCCCACCAGACTCACCTTACTTTTTCAGAAACCAAGTGCCTGGTGCTTGTAAATAAAAATAACTGCTTGCTGGGCACCTGGGGGGCTAGGATGGTTATGCATCCAACCGCTGATTTTGGCTCAGGTCACGATCTCACGGGTTCATGGGTTTGAACCCGGTGTTGGGCTCCACGCTGGCAGCACGGAACCTGTTTGGGATTCTGTCTTACCCTCTCTCTCTGCCCCTCCCCGAGTCGTGTTCGAGCTCGCTCTCTCTCTCTCTCTCTCTCTAAATAAATAAGCATTGGGGCGCCTGGGTGGCTCAGTCGGTTAAGCGTCCGACTTCGGCTCAGATCACGATCTCACGGTCCGTGAGTTCGAGCCCCGCGTCGGGCTCTGTGCTGACAGCTCAGAGCCTGGAGCCTGCTTCGATTCTGTGTCTCCCTCTCTCTCTGCCCCTCCCCGTTCATGCTCTGTCTCTCTCTGTCCCAAAAGTAAATAAACGTTAAATAAATAAATAAATAAATAAGCATTAAAGTAAATAAATAAAGGGGCTCCTGGGTGGCTCAGTCAGTTAAGCGTCCAACTTCGACTCAGGTCATGATCTCGCAGTTCCTGAGTTCAAGCCCCAGGTCGGGTTCTGTGCTGACAGCTCAGAGCCTGGAGCCTGCTTCGGATTCTGTGTTTCCCTCTCTCTCTCTGCCCCTCCCCTGCTCACACCCTGTCTCTATCTCAAAAATAAACATTTAAAAAATAATAAATAAAATAAGTAAATAAATAATAACTGCTCGACAAGCACCTGCCTGAGCCAGGCAGCAGGCCACAAGCTAAGGTACTTGGAGCTGTGACTGGGCAGTTTTTCAGACACCAAAATATTCCATAAAAGCAGAAATGCCTTCTTCCAAGCAACAAGGACGCCCCAACACAAGTCCACATCGGCGTATCTCTTCATCTTTTTATAAAAATGACTTGCTTTTAAATTAAAACATTAATGGGTAGCCATTTAAAACGCTGGGGGTTGGGGGAATGATACAGATGGGAATATTAAAAAAAAAAAATCACACTGCAGCCATTACACTCAGATAAGCACTATTCAAATCTCAGTGTATAACCTTCCAGATCTTTTCGGAGGAAAGAGAAAGAACCTACGTGTATCGAAAAGCCACTTTTTAATCAAGATATAACACACATTATGCTGAAAAATGCACCAAATCTTTACAGCTTGATGAAGTTTACATTCATTCACACCTGCACCCCCACTTTCTGACCAAAATCTAGAACATCTCCAACATCCATAAAATTCTGGTGTCTTCTGCGTCAAAATTCTCAAGTTATTTCTAGTTTGAGGCTATTATGAACCGAGATGCTAAGAACGTTCTAGCACTTTTTTTTTTTTTTTTTTTAGTAGATGCATTCTCTCATCTCTATTGCATATATGCTGAGGAAGGACTGCTGGGTGGTAGGGTAAGTGTGTATTTAGTCAAAAGTCATTAAACAAACAAATTCTCCCATAATCCTAACCCTTGGGGACACCAAGTTTTCCTTTTCCTCTCACTGCTTCCGTTTCTGGCCCTGCACAAGCACATTATGCTTGCATCTTGGTTATAGTAACAGTGTGTATATAATATGATCCTTTGCTGAACTGTCTTTGTTGTTTAAAAATAAAATCCATGGAGGGGCACCTTGGTGGCTCAGTCGGTCAAGCGTCCGACTTTGGTTCGGACTTTGGTTGCTTTAAAATCTCATGGTTTGTGGGGTTTTTTTTTTTTTTACTTTCTTTCAATGTTTTCATTATTTTTGAGACAGAGAAAGATAGAGCGTGAGCAGGGGAGGGGCAGAGAGAGAGGGAGACACAGAATCCGAAGCAGGCTCCAGGGTCCGAGCTGTCAGCACAGAGCCCCGACGTGGGGCTCGAACCCATGGACCGTGAGATCATGACCTGAGCCGAATTTGGACGCTTAACCGACTGAGCCACCCAGGCGCCCCTGGTTTGTGGGTCTGAGCCCCGCGTTGGACTCTGTGCTACAGCTCAGAGCCTGGATCCCGCTTGGAATTCTATGTCTCCCCCTCTCTCTGCCCCTCTCCCACTCGTGCTGTCTCTCTCAAACATTAAAACATTAAAAATAAATAAATAAAAAATAAAATCGGTGGTATCACAACAACATCTCCGTAATTATCTCCATTAAGGAACACGAGATCCCATCGCTGAGTGAAAAAAAAAGCTGGCACCAACTTAAAGAGAACACAATGGGGGTGTCGCAGTGGGTCCTGCTCTCTCTGGTTCCACCTTCATTCATGCACACCAACCATGGGGCCACAGCGTGGTGGAGCCTGGGGGAGGGCTGACGACCAAGGGCTCCGGACCCCGCGTGAGCAGGCCACGGCACAGCCTGACGCGTGGAGGTCTTGGCAGCTCTCCCTCTCGTTTTGTGCTGTAGTGATTGTCTCCCATCTAAACCACTGTCTCCCGCCAGCAACTGTGCTGCAGGTAACCTTTTCGGGGCAGAAAGGGGCCGTGCAGTACCGTGGTTACCAACACAAGCTTTAAAATCAGACAGACGTGAGTTCACACTCCCAGCTGCACCACCAGGGCCTCGACACGCTCCTCCGTCAGCTGCAAGCACAGTTTACGTGGCCATCACCTAAACAACCACACTGACTCCCTTGCTGTGTTTGTTCCCCTTCCTCGGTCTTGTATTCTGAAATACACATTGATGGCTGGAGCTCCAGCAACCACCTTAGACCATGAGGTCAACTTAAGAATGGAAGGCTTGTGCAAAGCTGGGAAAACTTAAAAAAAAAAAAAAACCACAACAGCGACGAAGTCTGGGACATTAACAAATGTGTGCAACTGCCACACCAGAGCTGAAGGGCCCACTTCTAAATTTCTACTATGAGAAAAAAATAAATAGAAACAACAAACAAATAAGTATATACATTTCCACTAGGAGAGAGAAAGACAAACATCTTGTCTGAGCTGCTGTTATTCACATCTCTATTTTCTGCAGGGGGGCTAAGACCTAAAGAATTTAATAAAACTCTTCCAAGTTTATTTATTTTGAGAGAGAGAGAGAGAGAGAACACGCGCGCATGTGTGTGCACGTGGGTGGGGGAGGGCAGAGAAAGAGGGAGAGAGAGAATCCCAAGCAGGCTCTGTGCTGTGAGCACAGAGCCCAATGTGGAGCTCCATCTCCCAAAACCATGAGATCACGACTTCAGTCGAGACCACGAGGTGGACGCTTAACCGACTGTGCCACACGGGTACCCCCATAATGTTAATAATCAATTTTAATAATCAAGGTGTCTTTACTACTGAAAAGTGACAAACACCAGCTGGGCCCTCTGCCGGCAAATCGCGCACAGCGCCGTGCCGCGGACATGGGAAGACAGCGTGAGGCCCGGACTCACACGGGAGCGTGAAACCCAGGAGGGCTCCTCCTGCAGCCCCGAGACCCCGCCTCTCACCTGCACGAAGAAGTAGATGAGGCCCAGCGGCGGGATGATGATGGCAGCGATGGGCGTGGCCAGCAGGATGATGGTGCAGGCGCCGATGACGTTGAACAGGGAGCCCATGAACATCTTGATGACCTGAGGGATCATCGAGTCCACCGTGTCCAGCTCCTTGGAGAAGCGGTTCACCAGGTTCCCGCTGGGGGTCCGCTCGAAGAAGCTCATGGGGGACCGGAGCACGTTCTGGAGCAGGTTCAGGTGCAGGCGGCGGGAAGCGAAGATCCCCCCGATGGACAGCGCCATGGAGTAGCCGAACACGGAGATACCTGCAACGTTCTGGCGGTAAACACCACAGTGGGGCCCGGGCCCGGGGTGGGGGTGAGGACAGGCCATGCAGACGCAACAGGCCTGCACGCTCAGCTTCGAACAAAAACGGCAACGGTAATGACGAGAGTCGTGGCTGCTGTTTACTGAGGACTCAGTGTCTATTCAACACTGTACAAGAGTTTTACATGTTAATTTTTTAAAAAATTTAAATGTTTGTTTTTCAGAGAGAGAGAGAGCGAGAGAGAGAGAGAGAGAGAGCACGAGCAGAGACAGAGAGAGACACAGAATCCGAGGCAGGCTCCAGGCTCTGAGCTGTCAGCACAGAACCCGACGTGGGTCTCAAACACGAAACATGAGATCGTGACCCGAGCCGAAGTCAGATGTTCAACTGATGGAGTCACCCAGGTGCCCCACATGCACCTAATTCTTTTTATTTTAAAAAAAAAAAAAAATTTTTTTAACGTTTATTTATTTTTGAGACAGAGAGAGACAGAGCATGAACAGGGGAGGAGCAGAGAGAGAGGGAATCTGAAACAGGCTCCAGGCTCTGAGCTGTTAGCACAGAGCCCAACGCGGGGCTTGAATTCACAGACCGTGAGATCATGACCTGAGCCGAAGTCGGACGCCTAACCGACCAAGCCACCCAGGCGCCCCCACATGCACCTAATTCTTAAGACTGACTCTGTATAAATCCTATTAGCAACCATTTTACAGAGAAGGGAGCTCAAGGTCAGACAGGTGAACTCCTCTGCCCTCAATACAGTCAGCCAATCAGCAGCAGAGTCGGGGTTCTGATCCAGGAAGCCTGCTTGCTCCAGGGTCATGCTCTTTATCTGTATGCCACATTCCTCTAGACCAGTGGCATGCAACACAACTTTCTGGAATGATGGAAATGTTCTGGACCTATGCAGTCCAGTGTGGTCACCTCCAGGCACACGTGGCTACTGAGCACTTGAAATGTGGCCAGTGCCACTGAACAGCTGATACTGTTACTTAGGTTTGAGGAACTGCAATTCAAAGAGCCACACTGTGGCCAGCGGCCACCAGAGTGGACAGCTCAGCTCTGGAACAGACACTGCTGCTGTGTGAGGCAGGGAAACATCACACCCACTCTGTGTCCCACCTTCCCTCAAGGACAGTTTGGAGGCCAGTCCCATGCCCAATGACGAGGTGTTAGGGATGAAGAAATCTGGGAAATCCATGTCTACTCTTCTGGTTTTTTTTTTTTTTTTTTTTTTCAAAGCCATCTCCCGGAGACCATGAGACAACTGTGGCTCCTCTGAACAAGCCACAGCGAGACAGCCGTTCTTTGCAAAGAGACTTCATAGGGATGGACAGGCTTACTCTCGGGAGCAGGGGCTGAAACAAGTGGCTGCAGCCAAGCACTGCCCAACTGTGTCTTTGCCACCTACCAGCTGTGGGGCCTTCCTGCAACCTCTAGGCACTGGGGGTCCTCCTCTATAAGATGGCAACAATGATACGTAACCTTGTAGCACTGCTGAATGTGAAGGGCAGTGTGCCGCTGTACAGAAAGTACTCAAATGTATCAAACCTATACTTACGTATCACAGACACTGAACACACGTAGGTAGGGACAGATGCACACTGCTTTTAGGAGTCTAAACACACGGCTCGGTTAGCATAGTGTAGCACAGTGGATCAAGAACAGGGGCTCCTGGGCCAGACCACCTCATTCAAAGCCAGCCCTGCCCATGTATTTGCTGTGCAACTTCGGGCAACTTACTTAACCTCACTGGGGCTTAGAGTCTCTATTTCTTTTCTTTTCTCTTTTTTTAAAATTAATTTATTTTTATTTACAAAATTTTTAATGTTTATTTTTGAGAGAGATAGAAAGACAGATGGAGTGCCTGGGTGGATCAGTTGGTCAGGCATCCAACTTCAGTTCAGGTCACGATCTCGAGGTTCATGAGTTCGAGCCCTGCGTCAGGACCTGTGCTGACAGCTGGGGGCCTAGAGCCTGCTTCCAATTCTGTGTGTCATTCCCTCTCTGCCCCTCCCCTGTTTGCACTCTGTGTGTGTGTGTGTGTGTGTGTGTGTGTGTATCTCTCACAAATAAATAAACATTAAAAAAAAAATTAAAACGAAAAAGAAAAAAAAGAGTGCAAGCAGGGGAGGGGCAAACAGAGAGAGGGAGAAACGGAATCTAAAGCAGACTCCAGGCTCCGAGCTGTCAGCATGGAACCTGATGTGGGGCTTGAACTCAAATCACAAGATCATGACCTGAGCCTCAGCCATGAGCCACCCAGGTGCCCCTACTCATTTTTATTTTAGAGAGACAGAGTGTGTGCAAGGAACATGGGCAGAGGGAGAGAGAGAAAATCCCAAGCTGGCCCCACGCCCAGTGCCGAGCTCAATGTGGGGTGTGATCCCACAAGCCCGGGATCATGACCTGAGCAAAAATCAAGAGTCAGAAGGGCAAGTGACTGAGCCACCCAAGTGCTGCTAGAGTCTCTATTTCTAAAATGCAGAAAATACTAGCTGTGACCTCATGACACCTGCTGCAAAAGCAAAATAAGTTAAAACACCCAAAAATGTTTAGAACATAACCAGCACCAAGCAAGTGCTCGGTAAGCAACAACTCTTATTATTAACGCTGTTGTGTTTGGGGACCTTTGTGGAACCACAAGAAGGGTACACAGGGTTTCTCAGTTTCGTCACTACTGACATTTGAGGCTACATCATTCTCTGTTGTCGGGGCCGGGCTATGCACTGCAGGACATCTAGCGACCCCCCGACCTCTACAAGGCAGTCCCCCCCCCCCCCCCGCACCGCGACAACTCTAAGTACCTCCAGACATTGCTAAATGTCCCCCCAGGGGACAACATTGAGCACCACTAGCATAATCGAGTTCCCACTCTCAGGGAGCAGGTTAAAGTCCACAGGTGAGAGTTTACAGAAGCCCTATCACCCTGACCCAGGAACAAGGGGCAAGGGCCCTTGCTTGCCAAGGCTCGAGGGGGCTGCTCTTCCTCAGCTTTCCTCATCTGTAAAATGGACACATTGGAGTGCTCTTCATCTCCTAGGGCCCCATGAAACAGAGCATTCAAGAAACATTCCCTCTACAAGGTATCTGAGTGTCTACTAAGTGATAGGTACCGGTCATGTGACTTTGGCTTAGTTTGGGGGTCTGCAAAACCCTGACAAACGGGGGACCCAACTGCATAATAAGACATGGAGACATTTCAAGTGGCCAAAATTGGGTGGGCAGAGGAGGATGGGAAGGAGACGGCCCCCACCTTGCAAAATGCCCAGGGCGCCGTAGACGCTCAGCCGGACTTTGGTGTGCTCCTGGGTCCCGTTGACGATGGGGTCATCAGTCCAGAGGCTGAGCCAATAGTTAGAAGCCAGGGCAGCAACGTGGTTGCACAAGAAAAGGAAGATGCTCAGAAAGGAGATGAACAGTCCGATGGCCTTCATGTAGTCCCAGTACACGGACAGCTTGACCTGCAGACCCGGGGACAGAAGGCATTTGGAGGGTGTTCCCACCACACGCATCCAAGGTCAGGCACTCCAACAGCACCTGTGTGATCCAGTCCCCCCCGCCACCTCCCCCCCCCCCCCGCCGGTGCTCACGCCCATGGCACAGTCCCCCTTAGTTGATGGATAAAGTCAGCAGGAGAGAAAGTCAAGGTCTCTGCCCTCACGGAGCTGCCGGTCCAGTGGCAAGACAGACATCCAGCGTCCAGGTGAATGTGTAATTATAGACAAGGGCCGGAGCAGTGCAGGATTCCCTCAGAGCGTAAAATTGGGCATCACGACCTGACCGAACGGGGAGGTAACCTGACAATCTCCCTGAGGAAATGGTGACCAAGAACGGAAAAAAAAGCACGTAGGGCAGAGGAAGCAGCATGTGCAAAGGCCCTGAGATAGGAAGGAACACAACACGTTTAGGGAACCGAAGGGAGGCATGGGTGGCTGGAACACGGGCGAGCTACAGAACGAGCGGGGGTCACACCACACAGGGCCTGGAAGATCCTGTTTAGCATTCGGAGCTTTAGTCCAGGCCCATCAGGAAGGTGTGACCTGTGGCCTAGCAACCGAGACCCAGTGCTACCTCCCCCCCTCGTTTCCTCTCAACGCGAACACCGACTCCACATTGGCTCCACTGGCTCCTGGATGGTCGGGGCTGGCTTAGTCTGTTCCTCGGCTCCAAAGGGCAACCAAGGACTTCTCCCACCCCTCCCTTCCCTGTGGAGCCCAGGAGGAGGGCTACATAATTCTGTGTAGTTGTTCAAAGGGGGGCCTGAACACCAGAGACAGGGGCAGCCTGCTTTGGGCCAGCCCTAGGCCCAACGTGCCTGGCTCGGTTTCCACAAACGCCAGGTATCTGTCCTCGTGTGGGTGTGCTCATGGTCGCTTCAAGCTCTCATGTGCTGAATTTGGGGTCATAAAAACCACTGATGTGAATAACAGTCGGGCTGAAAGGTTAACAGGTGAAAGCCCGGAGGTCTCACGTGTAACTGAGTGCTTCTTTTTGACTTTTATTTTGTCCCGTTTTTCCAACTGAAATGGGGGGTGGGGGGGCTGTTCCAGAATTACCACGTTTTTGTCACCGTTTGGCTTTGTCACACAGCCAAGCAGCCTGCTGCTGATCCTGGAATTACACTGCGGGACTTGGGGACCTCCCCAGCAGCAGCAGAGCACGGTGGGCGTGGGAGTCCAAGATTTCCGAGCGAGCTTGCTGAGCCCAGCTCCACTCCCAGTCGAGCTCCGGCAAGTCACAAGCCCCCTGCTCTGTTTTCCTGGCATATAAAAGGCAGGTAATACCGGGCGGTATGGGATTAAATAAGCACTAAGCGGGCCCAGCATTCCTTCTCCGGTCTTTGATTTGGGGTCACTCCCCTGGCTCCCCAGAGGACCAGCGAGAACAGGAGGGAGGATACACTACAGCCACCTCCAACCCTGACCAAGGCTGCGATGAGAAGAGGAGAGAAGAAGCCTGAAACGGAGGATTCCAGGAGCTTCCGGATGCATCCAGGTAGATCTCAGAGAACGGTGTCCTGACCTCGCTGGTTCCTGAACCACCCCACATGGGGTGTGTACTTCTTATTTTAAAAATTCCATTCCCCTTTTTTTAAAAAACATACCACGTGTATTTTTAAAAATAAACTCTGGGTCGTTACCATAAATGGAAGATTATTGACACACGCCCAAAACAGGGGAGCATAAAACACATACAAGAAAACAAGGGCCTGAAACCAATTTTCCCTGGGACAACAAGACGTCAGCGCCTGTCAGTGCTACAGACTTGAATGTTTGTGTCCCTCCAAGTTTGGATGTTGAGATCCTAACCCCGAGGGAGATGGTATGAAGAGGTGGGGCTCTGGGGAAGCGGTCGGATCCTCAGGACGGAACCCTCACAACGGGGTTAGTGCCTTTAGAGGAGTGGCTCCACAGAGCAGACGGCTGTCTGCGAACCAAGAAGCAAGCCCTCTCTAGAAACGCCTGCTGGTACCTTGGTCTTTGGCTCGCCAGCCTCCCGAAGTGCTACCAATAAAGGCAGGTTGCTTCTAAGCCACCCAGCCTATGGTTTTCTGTGACAGCCGCTCACCAGACTAAGACAGGCATAAAAGATAAACGAGCATCTAACTCAGACTTTCTAGGTAATCATCAGGGTTAAAACAGAAATCAAAGACTCGCATTACGCAACGCGACAGAGATGTTATCTCAGAGGCAACCTTACCTTGTACACAACTTCCCACACGTGGGAAGGCAGGATTTAGAGCACCCAGGTCACCTACAGAAAGCCCCCAGCTGCTCAAAGGAGGTGGTGGTCAGTAGAGCAGAGGCTACAAATGTCAACCCTGGAGTCTGGCTGCCAGGGTTCAAATCCTAGCTCTGCCGTCCCCTGGCTGCGACCTTGGGTAAGTCATTTAGGCTCTCGGGTCCCTGTTTCCAGCACTGGGAAATGGCACTTTTATAGGCTTGTTGAGGGGCAAGACACCAGCGAACATAAACAAGGCGTTCTGCACAGGGCCCCACACGCAGGGACGCCAGCCACGGTCCTCACCTGCCCTGTTTGAGCCTTGTCTGCCTCCACCAGCTTCCACGCGTCCTCGTCCTGGGCTCCAGCTTTCTGCGGCTCGGCGGTGCTCGTGTGGTGGCGGCTAACATCCCCGCTGTAGGAGGAAGAGTTGCTCAGCTGTCTGGGGAAAGCAGGGCACACGGGCGTCAACCAAACGGGAGCCTCGGGGACAGAGGCAAGCCCAGCAGAGCATCAAGCTAGTTCAATCCTCTGATTTCACAGCTGTGACCCAGGGAGGGGACCCGAGACACAGGACCCCACGGAGAAGATGTTCCTTCATGCAGGCAGTGCTCAAGAAGCATCTCTGGCCTGCCGGTGGTCGTCATCAGCTTTAAACACCACGATACACTATCACCGATCGTGTGGCCCAAAGCCCTCTTTAGAGCCCCACCCCCTGGGAACTTGTCACCCTGGAGAATGATGCAGGCGTGCGTGGGCATATGCACAAGAATGCCCTCTTGAGCCATGGCTCAGTCCCACACGGGCAAAGGGATGGGATGTGACTTCCATCCTGGTTGGGGACTCTCCCCACTGCCTTCTTGGTTTGCAGGCATTCATGAAGCCTGCAAGCTCCTCAGGCCAGCTGGGAGCGGAAGGGGCTCCAGTTAGAAACTGAGGACAGTGATCCGGACCCTGAGGAACTGATTCCTGCCAACACTCATGTGAGCTTCGTAGTAGATCCTTCCCCAGCCGAACCTTCAGATGAGACCCCAGCCTGCCAGGAACCTCGGACGTGGCTCGTGTGAGACCCTGAATGGACGAAGCGGCTCAGCCGTGCCCAGATCTCCCAAAGCCACAGAAACTAGGAGATGACAAGCCACTAAGTTTGAGGTCATCTGTTACACAGCAACTGATATGCCCAGTGTCCCCGACACTTCTGCTCAGTCCGCTCATGGTTCTCCCTGGCAAGCCCCCCACCGTCACCGCCCGTAGGTCCCAGGACCACCTCCAGGCGCTGCCTTATGTCGGTTTTCTCAGCAGATTCTCCAATCGCAGCAACCATGACTGACTGGTCACGTGCCTGCACCCCGGCAGTGCCCCCACAGCCCCGGGGTGAGGCTCCGTTCTACGTGCCCTACACACATGTAGCTAGCTCACTGCCTTGACGGGTGCACCAACAGAGCAGGAATATTTCCACCTGTCCCGTACAACAAAAACCAGGAGTCTAGGGGGCTACTGTGTGCAGTGTTCTGATGGGAGGAGCTACTCACGCCAATTTCCTTCCCAGCCCCGTGTCTGTGGAATCCACCCCCACCCGGAGCAAGATAACTGCAGGCAGCCCCAGCTCACCCAGTTAGAAGTGAGTGCTGTTTACTGGGTGCTGATGGAGCAAGGTGCTGTGCTAAGTACTTCTCAGGCACTACACGGTGTCCGTCTCACTACAGCCAGCCCCCTGCAGTAGGTACACCGCAGACCCTATCTGACACATAAGAAAACTGAGGCACAGAGAGGTTAAGCAAGCAGGCTCACGGAATGATCCTCCTCCAAATCCCAAACCATCTAGCTGAAAACAACCTCCTTTAAAGCAGCAAAGCCTAGACCTTTGGAGCACTGGCTCAGAGACCAGGATTGGGTTCAAATCCAAGCTCAGTTTCGGGGCACCTGGGTGGCTCAGTCAGGTAAGCATCTGACTTTGGCTCAGGTCATGATGTCACAGTTTGTGGGTTCAAGCCCCACGTCGGGCTCTGTGCTGGCAGCTCAGAGCCTGGAGCCTGCTTTGGATTCTGTGTCCGTCCCTCCCTCCCTCTCTCTCTCTCTCTCTCTCTCTCTCTCTCTCTGCCCCTCCCCCGCTTGTGCTCTGTCTCTCCCTCTCAAAAATAAATGTTAAAAAAAAAAAAAAAGTTCACTTTCTCTCCAGCTGCATGACTTAGGGAGAGTGCTCAGTTTGCTCATCTATAAAATGGGAAGGTAAGATTTCAACAGACCATACAGGGCTGGTGCCATGACTGGCTCCTAATGGTGGATTGAACATCGTGGTCGCTACGTGTGACCATTTTGATTCAAATACTGGCTCTTACAGCCTGACCGGTCCAAGCCCCTTTGAACGACTTGAGCCAAGATCGATATCATGTGGGGAACCTGAGTGTCCCAAGTGCAGACAGATGGTTAAATCTGGAAGCCTGTGTGAGAGGTGTGATCTGGTGAACAGTGCCAGGTGAGGTCTCCTAGTGATTTGGGAAAGGAGGCAGAAAGCCCACATCTTCTAAGACCTCGGGGAGCTGAAGGCCTGGTCTCGGTAGGTCAGACAGGCTGCCGGACTCCCATCCCTCTTGGCTCCCAACCCAGGCAGGTGGCAGAGACAGGGCGCCTGGAGAATCC